CGCAGCTGCTGCTCACGACTACCTTGGTGCTGAGGAGGTCGGGGCTGCTTCCGCTCCTAGTGGGAAGCGTCGCAGCGGCAGGGGCGGCAAGGGTGGCAGGGGAGGTGGGGGTGGCGGTGGAGGTGGCGGTGGAGGTGGCGGCGGGGGAGGTGGAGGTGGTGGAGGCGGTCGTGGGGGTGGAGGTGGTGGAGGTGGTGGTGGGGGCAGCGGAGGCACTGGGAGCGGTGGAGGTGGCAGCAGCGGCGGTGGGGGAGGGGGAGCGGTGGTGGCAGTGGTGGTCAGGGCCAGCAGCAGTCGCAGCAGCAGCAGCAGCAGCAGCGTCAGCGCCAGACCCCCACTTCCCAGCAGCTTCTTGACTGGTATGCCGGGCGTGGGGCTTCTGGGGGTCCTGGTCGCTGCCCCTATGTCATTCGCACAGGTCTCCGCACTGGTCGCCAGTGCACAGGGTTTCACACTGAGCAGCGCTGCTTCGCTCGGCTTAGCGACGCCTGGCGCGCCAAGTTTCCTGATGCTACTGAGTTCCCCAACTGGGCAGACCTGCTTAGGCGTGATGTACCTATCTTTGATCTTGACTATGAGGCTATTCTTGCTGCCATGTATGCATTGAGTGTTAGTGCTGAGGGTGACTGCTACTTGTGTGTGCCGCCTGACCCAGGTATAGCCCCAGGTATAGCGCCTGTGGCACTAGGTGCTTGTGAGTCTGCTCCCCCTGGTACTGCGTCCGCACAGGCCTTGCACACCTTCACACTTGACTCTGGTGCTTCCCGCTGTTTCTTTCGCGACAGCACCACAGTCACTCCCCTCCCTGCACCTGTTCCTGTCTCGCTGGCTGACCCCTCTGAGGGCCCAGTGCTTGCACGGTCTTCCACTGTGCTTCCGTGTCCGGCGGTCCCGTCTGGTGAGCTGTCTGGTCTCCACCTCCCCTCGTTCTCTACGAACTTGGTGAGCAACGCCGTCCTTCAGGATCACTGGGTTGACACCTTTACTCCTGGAGGACAGCGTGTGGCGATCTGCACGTGCTCCCGGACCGGCCGTCACCTGGCCACGTTCACACGTGCGCCTGCGTCTGGTCTGTACACCCTCACCACTGCGTCACGCTACACCCCTTTGTCCCCCCAGCTGTACGCGTCTGCTCAGGTAGCTACCCAGTGTGAGTGTCGCCGCCTGTCGCACGACACTCTCGTGTGGCACCACCGCCTTGGTGACCCCTCCCTGCCTCGCCTTCGTAGCATGCACTCTCGCTACCTGGTCTCTGGCCTTCCTGAGTCTCTGCCTGCCCTCCCTCCCTCGCCTGCGCCGCCCTGCATTCCTTGCGTCGAGGGGCGGCAGCGCGCCCCTCCTCACTCCTCCTCGTTTCCTCCCACAGAGGCTCCCCTGCAGACTCTCCACATGGACGTGTGGGGCCCAGCCCGCGTCCGTCCACAGGGCCACGAGCGGTACTTCCTGCTGGTCGTCAACGACTACACGCGTTACACCACGGTCTTCCCCTTGCGCAGCAAGGGGGAGGTCCCTGATGTTTTGATCCCCTGGATCCGCGCTGTTCGTCTCCAGCTCCGCGAGCGGTTCCAGTCGGACTTTCCTGTCCTGCGTGTGCACTCTGACAGAGGTGGTGAGTTCTCCTCAGACCTCTTGCCAGCCTTCTGTGCGGAGCACGGCATCCGCCAGACGTTCACGCTTCCGGCCTCTCCGCAGCAGAATGGGGTTGCTGAGCGCCGCATTGGCTTAGTCATGGAGGTCGCTCGTACCTCCATGATCCATGCGGCTGCCCCCCATTTTCTGTGGCCGTTTGCGGTCCGGTACGACGCGCATCAGCTCAACCTCTGGCCACGTGTCTCCTTGCCGGATACCTCGCCCACACTGCTGTGGACGGGGAAGGTTGGCGATGCGTCGCGTTTCCGGGTCTGGGGTGCTCGTGCCTTTGTCCGCGATACCACCGCGGACAAGCTCTCCGCTCGCGCCATTCCCTGCGTCTTCCTTGGCTTTGTCCCTGACGCGCCTGGCTGGCAGTTTTACGACCCCGCCTCGCGCCGTGTCTTTCCGTCTCAGGACGTCACCTTTGACGAGTCCGTCCCCTTTTACCGTCTCTTTCCCTACCGCACTGCCCCTCGCCCCCCCCCCGCCGCTCTTTCTCGCCCCAGGTCCTCCCCAGGTAGACCCCCTCCCCGCGCCAGGTCCTGCTCCTTCAGGTGTTTCTCAGGTAGACCCTCCCGTGCCTGCGCCTGTTGAGGTCACTGGTTACTCAGGTCCTGCTGGGGGTGGTGCTGTCTTTGGGGGTGCTGGGCCTGGGGGTGCGGAGCTTGGGGGTGCTAAGCCTGGGGGTGCGGAGCTTGGGGGTGCTGAGCCTGGAGGTGCGGAGCCTGCGCGTAAGGACCCAGGAGGTGCTGAGCCGGGGGGTGCGGAGTCTGGGGGCGCTGAGCCTGAGCGTGAGGAGCCTGGAGGTCCTGAGCCTGGGGGTGCTGTGTCTGGAGGTGCTGAGCCCGAGCGTGAGGAGCCTGGGGGTACTGAGTCTGGGGGTGCGACGCCTGAGGGTTCTGAGTCTGCTGCTGCGCGGTCTCCTTGGGGTAGCCGCCTTCGTCCGCGTGTGCCTCTCACCTCACAGCAGCTGCACGACTGGTACGGTCGCCGTCAGGGTCGCGCTTATGGAACTCGGGGCTCTACCGCTGGAGGTACTTCTGCTGACGTCACTGGAGCTGGGAGTGGTGCTGGTCCCGGAGGTGCTCGTACTGGAGGTGCTGGAGCTGCTGGGGCTGGAGGTGCTGCTGAGCCTGAGGTTGCTACTGATGGAGACCCTGGGTCTGGGGGTGCTGCTGCTGGAGACCCTGGGACTGGAGGTGCCGGTTCTGGGGGTGCTGCTGAGGGTACTGGAGCTGCTGAGGGTACTGGAGCTGTTGGAGGTGCTGGAGCTGATGAGGGCGCTGGAGCTGCTGGAGGTGCTGGAGCTGCTGAGGGTACTGGAGCTGCTGGAGGTACTGGAGCTACTGGAGGTGCTGGAGCTGCTGAGGGTGCTGGAGCTGCTGGAGGTGCTGGAGCTTCTGAGGGTGCTGGAGCTGCTGGTGCTGGTGGCACTGCACAGCCGCGCCTGTTCTTTGCTCCACCGTCTCCGTCGTCTCTGCCACCGCCTGACTCCGTACTTCGCCAGGTTCTTAGCCTCCCGTCATCTACTGGTCTTCCGTTACAGCCTGGCTCAACTCTGCCTGCTCCTTCTCCTTACGCTGAGCAGGCAGGGGGCCTTACTGTGCGTCGTGAGCCTGCGTCGCGTCCTGTCTCACCTGTCCGTTCTGGTCGTTCCAGTCTTCGTGTTCTTCGTCAGCGTCAGCCGGCTGTCCCCGGCCCTTCCCTTGTAGTCCGTCGTCCTTCCTCTCCTCCGCAGCGTGTTCCTCTGCCGTCTCCTCCTGCGTCTTCTCTGCCTGTTGTTCCGGACCCTGAGTCTGACCGGTTTCGTGCTGAGCACCCTACTGTCACGCGTCTGCTAGCCACTGTTGTCACTGACCCGTCGTTTGAGTCTGCTGCTGCGTCTGCCTTAGTCGCTGAGCTTGTTGACTTTGCTGCTGCCTGTCGTCTAGACTACGCCGCTAGTCTTGTTGCTGAGTCTGAGTCTGTCTGTCCTCCGTCCGTCGGGGGTGAGTGTGCTCTTGGCACGGACGTCCTTGAGGACAGGCAGGAGGACCTTGAGTGTCTTGCAGCCGCTGCGCCTCATCTCGTGGCCATGCTGCTTGCCCCTGAGGGAGACCCGGATGCACCAGACATCCCGACCCCGCGCTCTTACGCTGAGGCGATCGCGGGTGAGTACTCCTCTCAGTGGTAGACAGCCATGGACGCAGAGATGGCATTCTGGAAGTCCACAGGCACGTACGTCGACGAGGTTCCCCCTCCTGGGGCGAACATCGTCAGTGGCATGTGGATTTTCAGGGTGAAGCGGCCGCCAGGTTCTCCGCCTGTCTTTAAGGCTCGTTACGTTGCTCGAGGTTTCAGTCAGCGAGAGGGAGTTGACTTCTTCCATACCTTCTCCCCCACCCCGAAGATGACCACTCTTCGGGTACTGCTGCACGTTGCCGCTCTGCGTGACTATGAGCTTCACTCTCTTGACTTCAGCACAGCTTTCTTACAGGGCAGCCTGCACGAGGAGATCTGGCTGCGCCGCCCACCTGGCTTCACTGGGTCGTTCCCTAGTCAATCATACTTCTCGATAGTTCAATCATTCCACCGCTCCGAACCGAACTAAACCAGAGACGCGAAAATTTTGACAATGTTTGAAACTAGGGTGTAATTCGGTGTAATAAGATGCAGTGCGGTGGAACCGATTGGGACATGTACGATTGGGACATGTCCAGAGCGGAATGTACCCCTAGTCTCGACAGACAAGGCAGCACACAAACATTTCAGATGTTGAACAAACTTGTGAAGCTATTCAAGAGCTTTCCCTTCTGTACCGGTGTCTCCATTTTTGGAGCTGTACAATACACAATCTTATACTGTACAGGGGCAACTCATTCCTAATGGTGGCCGTTTATCTGCCACCAGAGCTGGAATTTTTGCAGCTTTCAAACCAAACAACCCGCCTGTCTAATGTTCACCTAAAGTGGCAATGAAGCGAGGCAAGACATGCTACGTAGGTGCCAAGAGCACACCCACAGCAACACAACACAGCGCCAAGGCCACCCAGAGCAGCAGGCTCTGCTCATGCAGCCACGTGCTCCTCTCCTCCACTCCACTCCACCGTACACCAACCCACCGCCGCCCTTCCACCCCGCAGCTCCCTTCCCCTGCTGCTGCCCCATTACCAGGGAGCGGGCCTCAGGCCCCCAGCAGGCCCCCCCTCCACGCGACATCAAGTGCACCGGCCTGCTCCCCCCCACCCCCACGCGCCCTCCCTTAAAATAACTGCTGCGAGCCCTACTGGCTCACTAGGCTTCATGGGTTGGAGGACAGAGGCAGCTGAATCTGCTCCTCCTTAGGCTGGCGCCGCCGCTGCCTCTGCACCTGCCATGTCCCTGCTGCTGTTATGCTGCTGCTGCTGCTCCTGCTGGTGTGGGAACAGCAGCAGCAGAAGCAACTCCGAGGCTGACTGAGCGCCGAGCGGGCAGGTACTGGTGCCACAGGTGGCGACGCGCGCGTGTTTTCCGGGCAGAGTGTGCGATGAGACCTGCCATGGGACGAGCACCGGCACACACACCTCCCTCTTCCACCACCGCACCTCCCTCTTCCACCACCACGGCACCAGCTGCTGACCCGCCTGCCCCCCCTTCTGCTGCTGCTGCTGGTGCTGCCACTGGGGGCGGAAGCACCACCTCCGCTGCTGCAGGAGCGGCAGCAGAGGCAGCAGGGAGGGGCGGAGGGGCTAGACGTGGCCCAGCGGCCACAGGTGGGCTGGGTGCAGCCCTGGCAGGGGCAACGGGCAACGGGGGCTCCAACATGCAGTCAGCTATAGGGGCACCCGCTACAGGAACACCAGCCTCTTCCGCACCGGCCTCTACCGCACCGGCCTCTACCGCACCGGCCTCTACCGCACCAGCCTCTACCGCAACATCCTGCGGCACGGGCAGCATCCTTACCCTTCTCTCCTCTTGGCCTACCACACACAGCGCACCTGGCGGCCCAGCAGCAGGACCACCAAACGCACCGTCTGCCGCAGCAGCATTGGCAGCACCAGTGGCATCAGCAGCGGCAGCAGCAGCGGCAGCAGCGTGAGTGGGGTGTTGTGTCATGCGCGCCCCGTGTCCGTCCAGGTCATCCACGCTGAAATACCTTGTGACGTCTGCCACACACAGAACAGAGGAGAGGGCGAGACACACACACACACACGCACACGCGCACGCGCACGCGCACGCACGCACGCACGCACACACACACACACACACACCCACTTGCACTCGCACAAAGCACACTAGCGCGCGCGCACACACACACACACCCACTTGCACTCGCACAAAGCACACTTGCGCGCGCGCGCGCACACACACACACACACACACACACGCACACACACACACACAGTGAACACGCACACACACACACACACACACACACACACACTTGCACTCGCACAAAGCACACTTGCGCGCGCGCACACACACACACACACACACACACACACACGCACACACACACACACACGCACACACACACACACAGAGAACACGCACACACACACACAGAGAACACGCACACACACACACAGAGAACACGCACACAGACACACGCACACGCGTGCAGACACACACGCAGACACAGGCACGGCCCATCAGCGACTGTCAAGGCGTATAAGGGAGAAGCAAAGGCTTCTTGGAAACACAGCAGAGGCGTGGAAAAAGAGAGGCGTGGAAAACGAGAGGGCATGGAAAAAGGTCGCAACAGATGGGAAGAGAATAAGCGGTTAGAAGGCACGCGTGGACGGTGGAGGACGGTGGTGGCTAGCGCGGTGTACCTGCAACGACGCTGAGCTCCATGTGTGGATCCAGACCCCAGCCATCAAATTCTGCTACGGGTGTTGCTGCTACGGGTGTTGCTGCTACCATGCCCTCATGCTGATCCCTAGACAACCTATGCGCACCCATGAGACAGTCCTCATCACCCACAGTGCCATCCGCCTGATTCAGAGAGACAGAGAGGAGTAAGGCGTGGAATAGTCAAGAAATGGCATGAGGCGGAACGGCGGAAAGAAACAAATGAAGCCTGGAAAAACCAAAAGGTTTGAGAAGAACACAGCAGTCGCAATACCTCCGCGAGACGCAGCTGCTCGTGAGGCGCAGGGCGCGCGCCCAAATTCTGAGACGGCGCACTGGTGCTCGCCAGCCGCGCTCCCCCACCGCCACCCGCCAGCTGCGGCGCGTTGAGCGCCTGCATGCGCCGGCCGTGCATGACGGCACCAGCTGCGCGCACAGGCCTCGACCTCGCCCGGACCGTTGCTCTCGCGTGGGTGCGGCCCAGGGGAGCGGCAGCGCCATGTGCCGCTCTGGCCCTAGCCAGCCCTGCGAGGGCCGCGGTCATGGTGGTTGCGCCTGCTGCGGGCGCTGGTGGCACGGGCGCTGGTGGCACGGGCACCGCCAGCCTCGAGGGTACAGCCGCTGCGCCCGGTGCTCTGGGCGCCGCTCGCTCTGCCACTCGGAGCGCTGCGCCAGCAAGGGCAGCAGGCGCGACACCACCGGGTGCCGGTGCAGCGAAAGTGGCAGGAGCCGGGGGAGCGGCGGGGAGGGCGGAGTGGCTTTCGTCGATGGAAAAGCCCTCCGAGAGCGGCGGCAGCTCCTCGTACACTGTACGCCACTCGACCTCCTCCGCCACGTGGCTCTCCTCATGCTCTGCCACGTGGCTCTCCTCATGCTCTGCCACGTGGCTCTCCTCATGCTCCGCCACATAGCCCAGCCCATGCTCCACCACGTGGCTCGCCCCATACTCCGCCACATGGCCCCCCGCAGACCTCCCAGCCGACACAGCTTGCCGAGAAATGTTCTCCCAGAATGTGTCTAGATCCACGTCGCTCACAGGCACGACAACGGGCACGGCAACGGGCACGGCAACGGGCACGGCAACCGGCACGGCAACGGGCACAAGCGGCGCGGCGGCAGGGTGGAGGGGCAGGAGGTCGGCCTCCTCGAGATCCAGAACGTCCATCAGCGCCGCAGCAGGCGGCTCGCTCGAAGCAGGCGGCTCGCTCGAAGCAGGCGGCTCGCTCGAAGCAGGCGGCTGGCTCGCAGCGCTCGCAGCAGGCGGCTTCTTGAACAAGCGGCACAGCACGTAGTCCACCTCGGGCTCCAGGCGGTACTCATACATCTTCCAGTCCGTAGGATCGCCACGTGGCGCCCTCCCCAGGTGGAACACGAGCGTCTTCCGGGACCCTATTTGTCGCGACGTGCGCGAGCTGTGCACGGGCTTGGCGTCGCCGGTCGACTTCCAGTACCCTCTCCGCGTGGCGCGATTCACGCGCGAGCCGTTCGGATATTTCTTCTCGAGCGCGTAGAAGAAGTACCACTCGCCGGCTTCGAGGGGCGACTGGCTGGGCAGGTCCCACGGCTCGTATCGGAGAATGTCGACTTCAACGATGAGCCCGTGGTCGTCCGCGAGGCGGTTCTCCACCTTCCGCCGCAGGTAGCCGTGGACCAGCTCCTCGTCCGTCGGACGGAAGCCGTATCCCCGCGGTAACCGCCGCAATGTCGCCATTTTCTACTTTTGTTGTGATTATTTGACGAAGAATCCGGCTTCGGGAAGCTCGTGGGAGCGCAGCAAGGAACGTTGGTCCCTCGTTGTTATACACAGGCCGCTCGTGGCTGAACAACGGGGGAAGTGCGTGTCTGTCAATCCGTCCAAGCAAGCCGAATCCCGGTGGTAACCGCACCATTTTCTACTGTTTTGTGATTATTTCACAATGCTAAATCGAGCTGGAAGGAAATTATAAGGGAAAGGAGGTGCATACCGAGAAATCAAAGAGCTTTGGAAGAGAAGCTCCTCGTTCCGCTGGGGCGGAAGCCGAATCCCGGCGGTAACCGCCGCAATGCCACCATCTTCTACTGTTCTGCCATTACTGACGATGCTAAATGTAGCTGCTGGAAGCTAAAAACTCTAGTGACTGCGAGAGATCGTGGGAGCGCAACAAGGAACGTTGGTCGTTCATTGTTCGACACAGCTGGTGACTGAACAACTAGGGAAATGCATGATGGATGGCCGGCTTATCAAGTCTGATGGTGGTGCCTGGAACAGGGTTGGAGATCGAAGAGGGGAAAGGGCGAGGGGCGGCGGGAAGTCACGCAAAAGGGAAGCGGAGCCATAGGCAGAGAGGAAGGGAAGGTTCGAGTGGAGAGCTCCTATGGGGAAGGAAGTACGCGGAGGTCTTTGAGGCGGTGAAAGCGCGGAGCAGAGGGAGAGGGCGGAAGCCGACCCGAGAATGGCGGTCGATCACCTTCCTTCCAGGTGATCTCGCACGAGCGCGACGCCGCAAAGCAAAAAGTCGCCCTCTTCGATTGGTCCTTCATCTGACCAGGACCACGGAAACAGCGATTCTCCTCTTGTCTTGGGGCCTGTCGATTGGTCTGGGGCCCAGAATTTCGGCTAAATTAAAACCCGCAGCCTGAATTACAAAAAAAGTTGGGAGGTGTTAACACTTTCCCTCCCGAACCAGGGTGGTTACCAGTTGTGCACGGGCAAAACGTGATGAAGTCGCATGCAGCTCACGGAAGTGTCGCTCGGTTCCTGCGCAACCACTCTGGCCTTGGTGTGCACACCAAACTGGAAACCTGTAATTCAGGTCGATAAAAACTGCCTAGTCCGATCAGCACCAGCGGCAGCCATAGCTTAGAACAGCTAGGCTCCAACCTCATTCCAGCCCCATGCCTCATAGATCAGCCTTACTCGTTAGGACTAATACTCCATTCCTTAGGTGCCAGAGATATAACTTTCTGTCCGCGTTTCTAAGGTGAATCGCCCTACTTCGTCGCATTCGCTTCTTCTCCCCGTAGTCCACACTCCGTCCCCTTCCGTCCCACACACGCACTCCCCTCCATCGCTCACGCTTCCTCGCGACAACGAGCACGCTCCCTCCCCTCCCGTCTCCTTTGCGCTCGCTCCATTGTCGCACACGCGCGCTCTGTTTTCTCGCGGATTACAATTCCCTCCCGTCGCCCACGCGGGAGCGCCGAGACCGATTACGCACACTCCCTTCCGTCACCCACGCTCACTTCGTTCCCGCCGCAGACGCGCACTCCCTTCCGTCGCCCCCGCGCACTCCGTCAGTTACCTCGGCCCACGCGCACTCCCTTCCGTTGCCCACTCTCAAGACCTTCCCGTCGCCCACGCTCACACCCTTCCCATCGCCTACGCGCAATCGTTCAGTCGCCCACTCTCAATCACTTCCCTCGCCCACGCTCGCTCCCTTCCCGTCGCCCACGCTCACTCCCTTTCCATCGCCTTCGCGCAATCCTTACATCGCACACGCTCACCCCCGCTCGTCGCACACAGCCAATTCCCTCTCGTCGCACGCTGCCGCCCGCGCCGCGCTCTCCCTTTCAATCTCCTCCCGCCGTCCACGCGCACTCCCTCCCGGCGCGCGAGACGACTCCCCGTCCGCCGCCCACGCTCACTCCCTCCCGCCGTGACGGTCCCCTCCGTCGCACATGCTCACTCCCCTCCGTCGCCCACGCCCACTCCTTATGGTCGCACTCACTCCTCCCCGTCGCCCACTCATTCCCCTCCGTATCCCTCGCTCACTCCCCTTCCGCCGCCCACGCTCGCTCCCTCCCGTCGCGTTCGGCCCCATCCGTCGCCCACGCTCACTCCACTGCCGTCACACACGCACGCACCCTCCCCTCGACGGAGAGGGGGTGCTCCGCTTCCCTCGCATATGCGTTCATCTCCCCATCCCTCATCTCCCCATCCCTCATCTCCCCATCCCTCATCTCCCCATCCCTCATCTCCCCATCCCTCATCTCCCCGTCCCTCATCTCCCCGTCCCTCATCTCCCCATCCCTCATCTCCCCGTCCCTCATCTCCCCGTCCCTCATCTCCCCGTCCCTCATCTCCCCGTCCCTCATCTCCCCGTCCCTCATCTCCCCGTCCCTCATCTCCCCGTCCCTCATCTCCCCATCCCTCAACCCCCCATCCCTCATCTCCCCATCCCTCACCTCTCCGGTCTTCCTCTCCCTCTCCCCTCTCCTCTCATTCCTTACCCTTCTCCCTCTCCTCTCCCTCCTCCCTTTCCACTCGCCCCGCCACTCCCGCCGTGCTTCTCCCTCCCCCCATTCCGCCTCGCCCCATTCCGCCCCACCCCATTCCGCCCCATCCCATTCCGCCTGACCTCATTCCGCCCCACCCCATTCCGCCTCACCCCATTCCTCCTCTCCCCGTCCCCTCCTCACTTTACCCCCCTCTTCTCCCTTTCCCCACCTCATCCCATCTCCTCCTCTTTCGTCCACCCCTCCTCACCCCATATCCTCCTCTTTCCATCCAGGCCTCCTCACCCCATTCCGCCTCACCCCATTCCGCCTCCCGTCCTCTCCCCATCCCCTCCTCTTACTATCCCTCCTCTCCCTGTCTCTCCTCTCCCCATCCCTCCTCTCATCCCTCCTCTTACCATCCCTTCTCTTACCATCCCTCCTCTCCCCATCCCTCCTCTCCCTATCCGTCCTCTCCCCATCCGTCCTCTGTTCGTTCCTTCCTCCCCACATCCCTTCCTGTTTGCTCCGCACTTCACCTCCCCCTCCCCTCCCCCAATCGCTCTGCGCGGTCTCATTGCAGGGACTCCTTGCAGGGAAAGAAGGGGAAAGGGAGGAAAGTGCACCCACGCTACGTCTATCCCCTCACCCCGCCCTGTCCTATCCCCTCACCCCGCCCTGTCCTATCCCCTCCCCTCCCCCTCCCGTCCTCTCCCCATCCCCTCCTCTTCCAAACCCATCCCTCCTCTTTCCATCCATCCTCTCCCCATCCCTCCTCTCCCCACCTCCTCATCCCTTGTGCGTTTCTGCTCCAGGGAGCTGCTTGGGACGCTGTGGACGGATGGCGGCGCCCATAGTCGCACAACAGAGGCGGACGTGGTGCTGCGTGAATCCCTTCCCCCCGTCCTCCCAACCTCTCTTTCTCCCTTCATCACGTCCCTCCTCTCCCCATCCCCTCCTCTCCCCCTCCCCTCATCACGCCCCTCCTCCCATCACGTCACGTCCTCTCCCCATCCCCTCCTCTTCCAAACCCATCCCTCCTCATCACATCCCTCCTCTTTCCATCCATCCTCTCCCCATCCCTCCTCTCCCCATCCGTCCTGTCCCCATCCCCTCCTCTCCCCCTCCGCTCCAGGTGTTTCCTCCCATCATCACTTCCTCCCATCATCACTTCCTCCCATCACCACTTCCTCCCATCATCACTTCCTCCCATCACCACTTCCTCCCATCACCACTTCCTCCCATCACCACTTCCTCCCATCACCACTTCCTCCCATTACCACTTCCTCCCATCATCACTTCCTCCCATCACCACTTCCTCCCATCACCACTTCCTCCCATCACCACTTCCTCCCATCACCACTTCCTCCCATCATCACTTCCTCCCATCACCACTTCCTCCCATCATCACTTCCTCCCATCACCACTTCCTCCCATCACCACTTCCTTCCATCACCACTTCCTCCCATCACCACTTCCTCTTCCTATCCCCTTTCCCTCTCACATCGTCCTATCTCCCCCTGTCCCTTCCCCCCTGCTTCCCTCTTCCCCCTCTTTCCCCGCTTTCCCCTCCCCATCGCTCGTATTCTCTTTCTCTCCCTGGCTATTGCAGTGACTACACTGATGATTTTTCTGGTGCTGCAACTCGCTCAGAGGCCCATCATCCCATGCCATGCTCGTAGAGAAAACAGTTCCCTTCATGTTTCTTTCGAGGCTTTGGAAAAGGTACAATCAAAAGTATTGTGCACATGCCTTTCTGTACCCTTCTGACACTCTTAGTGTGCATCAATCTTGGAAGAATATCTTGCACTGCAGAAACAAAATTACATACGGTACGGTATTATGCCTTTGGGATCCATCTCTTCAACAAAAATGATGCAAAGCACACAAGACACAGGTGGTGGTACGATGCAAAGCATAGACTAGCTGCGCCTCAGCTTGCTCCTCTGCTTCACCACTGAAAAATAGGGGAGATTGGAGTAGGCAGAAAGATTCGTGTGAAGAAACATGGGGGAGGTGGAGTGAGGTGCAAGGGAACAACGGCAGGGGAATACACACAAGCGCACATAATGAAAGCATGTATGGGGAGACACTAATGGGTGCACATGCATGTGTATTAGAGGGCGGAAGGTGAGGAGTGAGGGGGAAGGGTAGGGCATGAAAAGGAAGGGAAGGGTTGTGAACGGCTGGGGGAGGGAAGGGCGGAGCAGGGAGGAAAAGGCAGGGATGGGGAGGGCACGTGGGAACAGGGCAGAGGGTGCAGGAGAGTGAGAGTGCGAGAGGACGGAGGGAGAGAGTGCAGGAGGAGGGAGAGTGGGGGAAGGAGGGTGGGAGGAAAAGGCAGGGATGGGGTTTCCTAGGTGGGAACAGGGCAGAGGGTGGGGGAAGGAGAGTGAGAGTGCGAGAGGATGGAGGAAGCAGGGAAGGGGATGGGGGGAAGCAGGGAAGGGGATGGGGGGAAGCAGGGAAGGCGATGGGGGGAAGCAGGGAAGGGGATGGGGGGAAGCAGGGAAGGGGATGGGGGGAAGCAGGGAAGGGGATGGGGGGAAGCACGGAAGGGGACGGGGGGAAGCACGGAAGGGGATGGGGGGAAGCACGGAAGGGGATGGGGGGAAGCACGGAAGGGGATGGGGGGAAGCACGGAAGGGGATTGGGGGAAGCACGGAAGGGGATGGGGGGAAGCACGGAAGGGGATGGGAGGAAGCACGGAAGGGGATGGGGGGAAGCAGGGAAGGGGATGGGGGGAAGCAGGGAAGGGGATGGGGGGAAGCACGGAAGGGGATGGGGGGAAGCACGGAAGGGGATGGAGAGAAGCACGGAAGGGGATGGGGGGAAGCAGGGAAGAGGACGTGGGGAGCGAGGGAGATGCCGGGGAGAGAGCTGGGGGGAGGACGGTGGGGAGCAGGGCGATTGATGGGGGGAAAAGGGAGAGATGTATGCAGTGTGGGGGTGAAAGGCGATTATTCGGGAATGGGAAGGGTGCATGTGCAGGTGGGAAAGGGGGCGTGACAAGTGTGCGAGATGAGAAGGGAGAAGGGAGGGATGGCGAGGACAAGGAGTGGATGGGAGGGCGACGGGGAAAGAGAGGGCGACGGGGGGAGAGAGAGACGGGGATTGCGAGGGGACGAGCGGGAAGGAGGGCGACGAGCGACAGAGAGGCGACGAGACGAAGGGGGGCAACGGGGGGAAGGGAGCGCGACGAGGGAAAAGAAGGGCGGCGGGCGGACGGGAAGGCAACGGGAGGAAGGGAGGGCGACGAGACGAAGGGAGGGCGACGAGACGAAGGGAGGGCGACGGGCGGAAGGAAGCGCGACGAGGGGAAGGAAGGGCGGCGGGCGGAAGGGAGGGCGACGGGTGGAAGGGAGGGTGACGGGCGGAAGGGAGGGTGATGGGCGGTGACGGGCGGAAGCGAGGGCGACGGGCGGGGAAGCGGCGAGGGCGACAGGCGAGGCGAGGGTAGTAGGCGGGGGAAGCGAGAGCGACGGGCGAGGGAACCGACCTCGACGGGCGGCGAGGCGGCGAGGGCGACGGGCGGGGTGAGGGCAGTGGGCGGAGAAAGCAAGGGCGACGGGCGAGGGTCGCGAGGTAGGCAAAGTGCTCTCTCATCTCCTCACGCCCATTTTCTCCGTGCTTCGATTGCGTATACAAGCTGCACCTACTAATTCCGGTTGTCTAAATGGCGCTCACTCTAAAACCCTAGCTGGTGTGCGATGGTCGGATACTAATAGCGAGTGAATGAGTATGTTTGCTTGTTCTGTCGCACCAGTTTTCTTATGCTGTTCTTTCCCTCTGGGGTTGGTATGCGGGTTGCCTGCGAACTGTTTGCCTCACGGGAGAGTCGCATCAGGTTTCGCTAACCTGCCACCTTTCGCAATTCCTCCGCACCTCATTTTGCCCGAACCCCGGACCTACCAAACCAAGCGTTGACTCAGAAACAGGGTGGAAGCCATAAACGCACCTTCGAGTTTCCGTGATCAGTTACACTTTCGCGAACTGCGAGCACGAAGTGTCAGTTACACTTTAGCGACCAAAATGAAGGTTATACAATAAAAACTGATAAACTTGTAACATCACTACGCGTTTCTTCTGGAAATGGGACTTGGCCAACCTAGTCAAAGGTTAAAGTTATATATATGTTTAAATCATCCTATTCCTTTCCCTGCGCGTGAATACACCATGCATCACTGTTCACGCGGGCTCGATCATTCCTCGCGCGTTACCGACTAACGGTGTTCGCCAATCCGCATGCTAGAGGTAATATTTTTCTGGATGCCAATTCTACCATCTGTTAGCACAAGTGTCTATATGGGGAGGGGATTCGATTCTTATCGCACAATAATTCCTCTGCTAGCCTTGGGCTACCTTTGAAATAATAAGCGTCAACCCTCAAAGATCTGAGATAGAACAGGAGGTGCCGTTTGTGTGATATTATTGAGAGGGATGAAGAAGTCTTGAGCATAGACTTCCTTCACAAGCTCATATGCGTCCTGCACCAGGAAAACACAAAAAGGTCAACCAGGTAGCACCCAAAAAAACAAACAAACAATCAAACAAACAAAACAAACGGAAGTAACCTTCATGACCATGGTCCATGTCCCACTTAAGCCATGTCAGGACTCAGAAGCTCCCAGACCGTACAGCAGCCGCTGCAGCAGAACTAACCTTGGTGTATTTCTTGACTAGCTTGGTGTCGGCGCGGGTCTGGTGCGCGTTGACGCCGAAGTTGAAGATGTCGAGATGGTCGCCTCCGAATCGGTTCACCACATACTTGGCATCCTCCTCCAGATTCTCAAACCGCCCCACAAAGTCGTACTTTATCATCTGCATGAAACACACGTCCACCTGCCAGCAGTGCAGCCAGAGAAGCGGCAGCACAGGGCAGGCACACAGGCAGCGAGGCAGCACAGGCAGAAGAGGCAGGGAAGAGGCAGCAGAGGCAGAAGAGAGGCGCAGAGAGTTGATGAGCGGCACATGAGAGGCAGGCAAAGCGAGGTAATTATGCTCGCCCATGCAGCTGCCCCGATGCTCCCACTCTTGAGCGCAGCTCCTCCCGACCGGCCCACCTGTCATCACAATCCCGTGTGTCATCACAATCCCTTGTGTCATCACAATCCCGTGTGTCATCACAATCCCGTGTGTCATCACAATCCCACCTGCGCGGCAATGTGATAGCCTTGTAGTTGAAGTTGTGCTTGAGCATGGCGACCAGGCACAGGCTCTGTGAGCATGGCGACCAAGCACAGGCTCTGTGAGCATGCAGTTACCACCAGCGCACCTGCCATCAAAGACCCACCTGTCATTCCGAGCGCAGCGGACCCACCTGAGGGGCGATGTGGCGGTCCATCTTCCAGCGGAAGTTCCTTTCATGGCGTTCATGCCACCAATCCCACCTGCCACCACAATCCCACCTGCCACCACAATCCCACCTGCCACCACAAGCACACCTGAGGGGCGATGTGGCGGTCCGTCTTCCAGCGGAAGTTCTTCTTGAGCAGGGCAACGAGGCGCATGCTCTGTGAGCATGCTGTTACCAGCCCACCTGCCATCACAATCCCATCCCACCTGCCACACTAAACCCATCCTTCAATACACTCCCACCTGTCACCAGAAGCACACCTGAGGGGCGATGTGGCGGTCCATCTTCCAGCGGAAGTTCTTCTTGAGCAGGGCAACGAGGCGCATGTAGTCGGGGAATGACACGAGGTCGTCCTCGGCCTTGAGCAGCTCAAACTGCGGCCGCACAAACCGGAAGAAACGCTGTTGTGCCATGGGGGGGCAACCAGAGCAATGCGAGCAGGGGGAGAGTCCAAGGGTTGGGTGAGTTGAGATGAGCATCAGTAGAGGTCATGCTCGCCCTTGAGCAGCTCAAGATGCGGCCGCACAACCCGGAACAAACGCCACCGTGCCATGCCATGCCATGCCATGCCATGCCATGCCATGCCATGCCATGCCATACCATGCCTTGCCATGCCATGCCAACCAAAAGGGGGTCCAACGAGAGCGATGAGAGGAGCAGGCGATGATTATGTTGAATGAGGTGTGTGTGCATTTTCACAGGTCGCCTGGCACTCGAGAAGAAAAACAAAAGTGCTGTTTGGGATAAAATTAAGAGAGAATGCTGCAAGTGCAGCACGCATCATACCATTCCAACCACCCCTCACCTCAGTCGTCACCCCTCCTCACCTCAGTCGTCATCCCACCTCACCTCGTTCCTGACCACCCCTCACTTCGTTCCCCACCCCCTTGGCTCACCTCGTTCCAGTACTCTCTCGACCCCGGGCCAGTCTTGTTGCTGGGCGTGTCAGCGACCACCAGCTTGTTGGAGTAGGCCTCACCTCATTGGCAGCACCAGGCAGCAACAAGCACGGTTCAGTCCCACAGTCACGAAGGCGCACCTCGTTCCAATACTCGCGGGACCCCGGGCCGGTCTTGTTGTTGGGTGTGTCCGTGACCACAAGCTTGTTGGAGTAGGCCTCACCTCATTGGCAGCACCAGGCAGCAGCACGCACAGCTCGACCGCACACTGGAGAACACTCACCTCATTCCAGTACTCTCTGGACCCCGGGCCCGTCTTGTTGTTGGGCGTGTCCGTGACCACAAGCTTGTTGGAGTAGGCGGAGAGGGCGCGTGAGAAGGGGTTGCGCACAAAGGTGAAGCGGAAGAAGTCTGGGCGGGTCACCAGACGGACCTGCAGAGAGGGGGAGGGGGAGAGGGGAAGGGCAAAGGAGGTGTGAATGGTGAAATGGCATGAAAAGCGTTCATCGAATTTGAGGGTTGAAAGTGGTGCAGCAGAGTTAAGCAGAGAAGTCAAGGGGTTGGGAGCACATGAACCTGAGGGGAAGGGTGCAGGTAGAGAGTGGGGGCGGAGTGGGGAGGTGGATTGAGGACAGATGGAAAGATGGAAAGTGGATGTGAGTTGAGAATGGGGGTCGTGGATATTAGCAAAGCAGAAAAATTGCCGTCAACTAGAGCTCTGTACTCACTGCTTCCTTCTCTGTGAAGTGGCGGCCCAGCAGGTGCCAGCCGGCCTTGTCCACATCGAGGGCGAGGATGGGGTCATTCGGGTCGGGCTGCCCCAGCTTGGCGCGCAGCCACATGAGCCACGAGTTGGCCGCCACCTTGGGCATCGTGCACACCACTAGCTTCAGCTTCTCTGCAGGAGGGGCCAGGGGACAGAAACGCGATGCAATGCATGGGGAGGGACGGGAGAACAATTGAGCGTGGTCCATGGAGCAGGTTGGGCATGGTGCACACAACAGCGCCGGCCCCTCTGATGGGCACAGTGGGCCGCCGGTTGCAATGCATGGGGAGCGACGGGAAGGGAGAAAAAAAGGGCATGGTTGGTGGAGAATTTTGTTTGAGGTTGATTTTGAGAATTCTCAATTTGTTTGAGGTTGATTTTGAGAATTCTCAATTTGTTTGAGGTTGATTTTGAGAATTCTCAATTTGTTTGAGGTTGATTTTGAGAATTCTCAATTTGTTTGAGGTTGATTTTGAGAATTCTCAAAATCAACCTCAAACGAGAAGCAAAGGGCATGGTTGGTGGAGCAGCAGGGAAGGCCAAGCAGGAGGGGGAGCACCCGGGGCACCGTGCACACCTCCTGCCTGTGCTTCTCTGGTGGGGAATGGAATGGCTGGGGGGGGAGGGAGGTGGCGGATGAGGGATTGGTGAGAGAGGGGGCGCCGGGGGGCATGCTGCGCTCCATCTAGCCCGCATGGCATAGACTGAGCAGCACGGCACATGCTGAGGTGGCGCATGCTGAGGTGGCGCATGCTGAGGTGGCGCATGCTGGCATGAAATTCCAGGCTCGCATGAGTGAACCACGACCATCTCACCTTCCACCTGTGTGAACCACGACCACCGGTGGCGAATGATGGGCGGCAGTCTTTCGGTCTCGCAGATGGACGGCAGCACCTGGCAGCACATGGCGACGGGAGGGGTACGCACAGCAAGAGGGGGTGCAGAATCACAGGGCGGGGGGTGAGCAAAGGGCGAGGATGGGTTACCCGTGTTAAGAACTTGCACCAAAACGAGTGAGTGGGCAGTGGTGCTTAAGGCTGTTAAGCACAAGGATGGTTGGGAGGTTGGGAAGGAAACCGGGGGCGATCCCCACTGAGATGAGTTGGCAAGGCAGTCTCTTTGACACGCACACGGCAGGCGGCACATGGTGGGAGGCACATGGTGGGAGGCACATGGTGGGAGGGTGGGAGACAGGCAGGAGGAGGGCGGCAGGAGGGAAGGGGGGAAGAAGGGGAAAGAAGCACGAGAGGAGCAGCAGACTGGGAGGGCGGCAGGGGGGAAGAGCAGAGCAGAGCAGCAGGAGGGGCGGGGAGGGGGGCGGCACCTGGAAGGCGGGGGAGCGGTGGGAGCCCTGGGCGAGGATGAAGCGTGCCTCGATGGCCCACCGGTGGATGGGCACCAGCGCTCTCGCGAAGCTCAGGGCGAACAGCTCCGCTGCCTGGTGGGGGGGAGAGTGGGAGAAGGGGGGGAGGTGGGGGGAATGGGGGGAATGGGGGAAGGGGGTCATGGGATGGGGGAAGGGTTGGAGTGGTGGGAAGTAGCAAGGGAAAGGGATGGAAGGGGGATGGGTGCAGCACAAGGGAGAGGGGGAGAGGAGGGGCAGAGGGGCAGGAGGAAAACAGCAGAGGGAGGCCAACGAAACAGCAGACTTGTGGGTGGAGGCGGTGGGGAGCGGGTGAGGGGTGGGGAGCGGTTGAGGGGTGAGGAGCAGTTGAGGGTTGAGGAGCAGTTGAGGGGTGAGGAGCAGTTGAGGGTTGAGGAGCAGTTGAGGGTTGAGGAGCAGGTGAGGGGTGAGGAGCAGTTGAGGGGTGAGGAGCAGTTGAGGGTTGAGGAGCAGGTGAGGGGTGAGGAGCAGTTGAGGGTTGAGGAGCAGGTGAGGGGTGAGGAGCAGTTGAGGGTTGAGGAGCAGGTGAGGGGTGAGGAGCAGTTGAGGGTTGAGGAGCAGGTGAGGGGTGAGGAGCGGTTGAAGGGTGAGGGGTGAGTGGAGGCTTGAGGAGCAGTGCCATGTACGGTGAATATGAGCGTATGGGGATGGAGCGATGTGGGGCCGCTATACAGTGACAAGTTATGGATTCACAATGCACCCATGCACCCATGCACCACACATGCACCCACGCACACATGCAGCCACACACGCACTCATCCATGCACTGGCGTGTGTTCCCACCTGCAGCTGAGCGCACTTGATGCTGGACCCGCCCACTTCACTCCCCAGCACCCCCTTCCCCTCCGCCAACTCCCTCCTCCCCCCCTCCTGACACGTGTCCAGCCGCGATTGGCTGGCCTTGAGCACGAGCGGGCGGCGCAGCTCGCTGAAGAAGTCCCCAACAGCGGTGACGTCGGGGGCGGCGCGGGCGGCGAGGGCGAACGCCACGTGGGGGTCGTGCAGGAAGGCCATGGTGATGCGGCGCATGGCGCACAGTGGGGCGGACGAGTTGGCCATACGGGGACAGCCAGAGCAGACGGTACCAGCAGGTGGGCTCTGGTGGTGGCAGGGGAGGGAGGAAAGGTAATGTGAGGGTAGGGAAGGTAGGCGAATGTGATGTGGGGGTGGTGCAGGAATTCCATGTCACAAGTAGATGGCTTTGGAGAGCTTGAGCGCGTGCAGGCCCCCCTGCATCATGAGGGCTGCACACCTGTGGCGCACCGCACACCTGTGCACTGCCCTTCACTTGCTAACATGCATAAAGTGGGCGCATGCATGCATGCAGGCGCACCGAGACATAGGTAGCCTTGGAGAGCTTGAGTGCATCAGCAGCGCGCCCAGCGCCGTGGACGGTTGTGGAGGGTCGTGCACCCATGCACTCCCATGAACTCTCTCACATGCACACAGTGTGTGGATGTGGGCTCACCGACACATACCGACACGTAGATAGCTTTGGAGAGCTTGAGTGCGGCCAGGTCCTCCTCCATGACCAGCGCGCCCACTGCCGTGGAGGGGCGCAGGCGCCCCAGACACGCGTCCACGTGCTTGTCATACGCGCACCCGTCCAGGTTCACTGCACCGGACGCCTGCTGCGGTAGGGGAGACAGTGAGTCAGAGGGGCAGCGGCGGGTGAAGGCGGAGAGGCGAGACGGCAGACGAACAGATGAATCATGAAAAGGATGGCGTGCGATGTGGGGAAGGGGATGCGATGAGTGCATGGGACGAGGGAATGGATGAGAGAATGGCGCATGCAGGCACAAACAAGGACGAGACTGAAATAGCACACCTTGGAGTGAGCGGAGGGGGAGAGGTAGTGGCGGAAGGGCAGGGGGATGCGCCTGGTTTTCCTCCTGCTGCCTCGTGGGCACTCCTTGACCATCACCTGTAGGAAGCTCGGTGGCAAGGGGTACAGAGGGGTGGAGCGGATTGGGGGGCAAGACAAGGCATACAATGAGGGGAGGGAAGAAAATGGGCGAGTGAAGGGTAGAGAGCAAGACCATATTGCAGGACTGGCCAAGGCAACAAGGTTGTACAGCATGAGTAAGCTGAACATTCACCTCAACGGTATACGTCCAGTGGGTTGAGCATCTATCCTTGTTGGAAATGAAGATATGCTCCACGCACGGAGCTTGAGATAGCTCCACTCCACGAAGATCTTCCTCCTTGATGCTTCCAAAAAGAGCGAAACTTTTGCCTGACCTAGTCGGACCCACCTTTACAGCCCACCACAACCCACCACAACCCGTCACGGCCCACCAAGGCCCACCACAACCCACCCCAGCCCACCCCAGCCCACCACAGCCCACCCCAGCCCATCTCAACAGCTTACCTGTTGCCACGCGGGCAGCCTCGCCTTGAGCTCGCTGCTCGCCATGCGCACCACAAACCGTTACTGCCAATCACAGCCCCACCACATCCCACCACATCCCTCCACATCCCACCACGGCCCATCTCAGTGGCCCACCCACCTGCTGGGAGGCGTGCAGGCGGGCCGTGAGCTCGCTGCTGGCCAGGCGCACGTCGCGCACCCACACGTCGCGCGCCTCTCCGCTCACCGCCCTGTCCGCCACGTCCCCCGGGGGGATGGCCACGCTGCTGGCGGGGCGGAAGAGGTGGCGGAAGGTGGTGGCGGGCAGGTGGCGGTCGGCGGGCCACACGGCGAGCGTGGGCGCGCTGGTGAGCGCCGTCAGCGCATACGCCGCGCACACCGCGTGTACACGCTCCGCCAGCGCGCCCTGGGGGGAAAAAGGGGGAAAGGAGAAGGGGGGGGGGGAGAGGGGAGGGGGGGGGAGAGGAGGGGGAAAACAAGGGGGGAGGGTGGGGGAAGAAAAGGGGGCGGTGGGGAGGGAGGGGAAGAAGAGCGGGGGAGGTGGGGAGAGGAGGGAGGGGATGAGCCTGAGCGTGTGCTGCTAGGGCGAACCCCACATGACCCTACACCGCCTGCACGCACCCGCACAGAGAGCCTGTGGGGGGGGGTGTTGGGGGAAAGGGGAAAAGGGAATGGAAGAAGGGGTGGTATATGGATGACCGAGGTATGAGAAGCACGCATGCCACGACAAATTGGCGCCCAGCACACACACCCCTCCTCTCTCCTCGCTGCTGCGAGCGCCATGCTGTCCGCATGAGTCAGCGCAACCTGGGGCAGCCTGCGCGCCGTCACATCACAACACCGCTGTGTCAACTCCCCACACCGCACACCACGTTCACCCAGCCGCCCAAATTCAACGAAGGGTTCATATAAGCCATGCTGTTGCCATTGCGTCTGCCAGCTTCGTTCGTACGTATCTTACTCCATGGCATTCGTCCGTTCGTACGTATCTTATTCCATGGCCTTCGTCCGTTCGTACGTATCTTACTCCATGGCATTCGTCCGTTCGTACGTATCTTACTCCATGGCATTCGTACGTTCGTACGTATCTTTACTCCATCGCATTCGTACGTTCGTACGTATCTTACTCAACGGCATTCGTACGCTTTCCACTTCAAAAAATTCGCACGTACCTTCTCATTCGTACGCTCCTCACTCCATGGCAGTCGTACGTGTCTTAGACCGCAGCAATACCCGCCAATCCTCATCATCCACCGCATTCGCATTTAACCTCCCCTTGCGTGAGCTCGCCTCCCTTTGCGCGAGCTCACCTCGCCCTGCATTCATTCGCTCACCTCGCCCTGCATTCATTCGCTCACCTCGGCCAGCAAGAGCGCCTGCGGTTCAGAGCAGTCGGCGGCACCAGATCCGCCCTGGCAGCGCCACAACGACTTCACCTCGCGCTCCTTGTCGTCTTCCGACATCGACTCGACAGCTGACGTCAGCGACTCTTCCTCCTCCTCCTCCTCTACACGCGAGCTTCTCGTTTGCGATGATAAATTATCCCCGTTATTTGGTAAATCTAGCTCAGCGGATAAGGCGAGCTTAGCAGCAGCTAACTCCCTGCCATTCTCCGCTGCTGCTGCTGCATCAGCCACCTGCGGCTCCTCCTGCTTCCCTGCATCGCTCTTAACCGTTTCCGAAATGCTGCTCGCGCTCTCCGAGACTGAAACTCGTGACTCCAGTTTGCCGGCGTCAGCGGCCTCCTTGATCTCTCGCCGCGCGAGGGACGGGATCTCGAGGATTGGACAGATCCCGGGCTCGCGCGACCATAGGCACGGCACGATGGGCTTTAAGACGAGAACGAGCAGTAGCGCTGCGCCGAACCCTCTGACTATCCGAAACACGCTACTAGAATGTTTCTTCTTGCCTGTCATGGCTGCAGCTGCAAAGCTTTACTCTTTCTGTCAAAAGGGGACCTGAGCCTGCATCAATCTCTGATGCTCCTCAAAAAGTAAGTTCAATGTATACTTAGAACCTGAAACCACATCGAGAGAACGTCACGATATCGTTCACGGTTCTTCGGAGTCAATTGGAGGATTCTGAAAAAGGACGGGAAGGGGTGGGACTGGGCTCGATTGCTGTTCGGATGACTACTTCCCTTCGTCCTTCCAACCTGTTTCGGATTCAAAAAGCCCAGTAATAAGTTACGCGGCGGAACGGCAGTGCAGGCAGTCAGTCAACTACGTGTATCGGAAGCCACTCGTCACTCAAGTAGAGCTTGTTGGTGTCATCTTTTTCGTGGTGTGGGAGAAAGTGATCACAAACGAGATTCAGAAGCAACACTCATTCCTGCTCGGCTGGGGTGCAGGCATTACCGCTAAATCCATTTGCCAGATTCGCAGCACGTCACAGTCATGACCTTTCGCACCCGGACCTGCGACGATGTCGGGTCGCAAGGCCTGTGTTGACGACAAACAAAGTCGACTTGCTCACTGGTTGTGCCTTGTGCGACGGGGAGAACAAATTGAACGAAAGGTGTGGACTGCCGAAGGTTTGGATTTGAAGGGGGGGAGGTTAGGCGAGACATTACAGGGGGGTACGGGGGAGAGGACGTGAGGTATGGTAGGTCCGTTGGGTTTGCGCGAAGGCTCTAGCAGAACCTCCCGCCGTCGAAGGTGATTGGCCGAGGGGATGCCCCAGTAGAAATGTCTACCTGACAAAGGTTGGGAGCGAAAGGTTACGACAAATTCGGAAACTCTGCGATGTCGTTCCTCGACAGCTCTTCTGACAGGTGCTTCTGTTTTCGCGCCAGTGTCCTGGTTCGTACACATACAGTATCAAACATGAGCCTCCCAGAACAGAAGCAGCTGGTCTGGTTTCGTAACGAACCTAGCGGTTTGGCTCGACGGTAAGGGTGAATCGCTAATGGTTCGTTTAGAGCTCACCCAAAACGATTGAGTACGCTTTTGTGCAATCTAGAGCGGTTTGTTAAATTTGCCGTTCTGAACCGCTTTTCACCTTCTTTAACAGTGATACATGAACTGTAAGCAACTCAAGTATGACCAGACCTAAGCGAATTGCTCCAACGCGTGCCCCGGACGTGAAAATAGTCATGGATGAACCGTGTGGAGTTCGGCTTGGCCTGGGGCGAGGTTCGTCCGAAGTCACCAGTCGCAGAAGGAGGGAGAGGCAAGCAAATTCGCGCGTGCGGCGCGGGAAGTGGCGGTGCGCTTGTTCCCCACAGCACAAATGTGAGACTCCCAACCCAACTCCCATCTCCAACCTCACCTTTTTCCTGGTTCTGAATTCCATGTGTACAGCCTCCTATTCCCCCTACAGATGCTGAGTTATTCGGCCCCTGCTGTCCTTTCGTAAAGAGCGGGTTCTTGTACCCTCGAAGTTGTTTTCATTTTTGCAGCTGCGAGCGCCGTGAAGCACGTGCTTGCTTCTGAATTTACATCCACCACGCACAACAAACATCGCCGTTCAACCAAAGCACCCTGTCAGCATATCATTGACGCGAAAGACCTAGTCCGTAAGGTGCCGAGCAGCCGAATCCCGTCTCTCTGTGAATATATTTCCGTCCGTGGAGGGGTGGCACACGCGGCTCACCAATCATGGTGTTCTTCCACAAGCGCAAAACGTGCTCGACTCCAGACCGGCCGCGCGCCGCGTCATGGGAGCGGTGCGTGGTGATGGTGCTGCTGCCGCTCATGGTGCTCTACACCGTGGGCCACTGGATGGGCCCCTCGTGCAACCCTAACGTCGCCGTCATGCTCGAGGGCCGATCGCTCGCCATGGGCGCGAAGAAGCTATCCATGGGCTGGTGGACAGTGAAGGACGCATCTGATGGGGAGAACGGCGACGCGCGATCGACGCTGTTTCTCGACGAAGATCCGTGGAAATGCGACGCGAGCGACTCACACGGCGATTGCCCTGTGCGACGAGCCGACGCAGTCTTCGTGGCCGCGGTACGTGGGGAGTGGAGGGCTGCTGAGGTCACAACCTCTCGTGTCCCACGGAGTTTGTACCACTTCTGAGAAATTTCTAAAGGATTACACCTCTCGTGCCCCACAGGGTCTTGACAGATTGCCCACGTCTTGACGTTTTAAACGGCTTCTGCGTCGCCCCCTTTGTTTTCCTATCGCTCTTGAATCTCTTCGTGTTCTTTTAGCTCCCGAGCTCGCGGACCAGCTTCGTATGAAAGAGCTCGCCTCTCCCCCTTCTGACACCCCCTCCCCCATTCTCCCCTCTCCACCACCCGTCCCCCTCCCCCATTCACTCTCTCCCCTGACGAAACCTCTCCCCAGGGCTCTGTGTCGCAGCGCGTGCACGCGGTGTGCGCGGCGTACGCGCTGACGGCCGTCACCAACATGCCTACGCTCGCCCTCTGGTCCGCCGACCGCCACCTGCCCGCCACCACCTTCCGCCACCTCTTCCGCCTCGCGGGCGACCCCGCGCCTTCCCCCACGTCATCCCGCGAGCGCGGCGAGAGCGGTCGCGAGGGGAGCGTGTGGGTGCAGGACACGCCCGCCGAGGCGGGCATGCTGAGGCGCGCGCTCAAGGGCCGCCGACGGGTACGTTTGGCTGTTTCCGTTACCCTTGCCGCGCCCTGCCGTGCTCAAAGGCCGCCGACGGCTGCGTCGTGCTCTTTGCTCCCGCTCGCCCTTCCCAGTCATTCGCCGCTTGCTCGCATCGCCCTTGCGATGCCCTTCTGTTGACACCCCTCCGCGCACCCTTCCGCCTGTTTCTCTGCGCTGGTTACTTCCCCCCTGTTACTCTCCACCCGTTACTCTCCGGATGCTAACCTCCCCGTCCTCCGCATCATCATCCCGCGTCCGCGCTCCCCTCAAGTTTCTGCCCGCTCCTCTCGACCTCTACCCCTCCGCCTCACCCCCCGCATCCCCCGCATCCCCTTCCCCCCATCAGGTGGCGTTCAAGCCGTGCAAGAACTCGACGGACGGCAGGCCCGCGCCGTCCGCCAGCGGGCTGCCGTTCAAGGTCTTCCTCTCGCCGGCCGTGCGGGAGAAATCCACCGTCCCCCTGCGCGTGGACGCGTGCGCGTTCGAGCGCGAGGTGGACACGTGTCTGGCCGCGATTCGCCCGTCGGCCGCCGTGGCGGCGATGGTGGTGGAGGAGGACCTGGCGCGCGTGGCGGCGTCCAGCGCCGTGCTGATTGACGTGAGTGTGGAGAGGGGTGGAGTGCGGTGAGGGGTGGACTGCAGCGAGGTTTCCTGTCCAGCTTCTATTTCCTGCCCCCCTCCTCCTCCCTGCCTTCCCCTTTTCCGGGGCTGCCTACTTTTTCCCTGTCCTCTCCTTCTCACTGCCCCCTTTTCCCAAACACTTTCCTTCTCCCTATTCCCCCACCTTCTTCCTTTCACCTCTCTCCCCTCCCACCACCCACCAGCAACTGGCAGAAGGCGTGTGCTCCGGGTGCACAGACAACTCCAACCGCTCTGCACCGCACTGCACCATGCGGCGAGTGACAATGGAGTACCTGTACGACCCGGGGGTGAGCTTCACAGCGGGCGGGCTCAACACGTCCGACGTCACCCTTCTCAGCAGCTACTTCAGCGCGCTCAGGACCCCGCTCGTGCTCAAGAGCACCCAGCAGCGGAACGCCTCGTGCCGTGTGGAGGAAAGAGAGCCCCCTGCAGGAGAGGAGGGCGAGAGGAGGGAGCTGGTGGAGGGTGGGGAGGCGGGGCGGGTGGTGGGGGGAGCGAATAGAAGCGTGGTGGCAGGAGAGGGAGGTGCGGGGGGAGGAGGTGCAGGAGGGCTGGTGGTGCAACGTGGGGAGGATCGAGCGCTTGCGGCGCATGTGACGCGGTGCTCTCAGCTGCAGGTGAGCTGCGGTGAAGGAAGGAATGATTATCTCCTGCTTCCTGTGTTCGTCTGCTAGGTAATCGGGGACAGAGAAGTGTGCATGAGCAAAGGGCCTTCAATTTAAAAGAGAGTAGATTGACAGGGAAAACAAATATACACAGAGCACACGGTTCGGCGTAGGTTGCAGTGGGTGCAGTCCTGGATGACCAGATAAGAGTAAGGTTGGGGGTTGCGGGCACAGAGAGTGCACAGCCTTAACGCCCTCTTCTCTCCCCCTCACATGCGCCAACCCCAACCCCACCGTGCAGGTCGCAGAGCTCTTCACGCTCAGCTTCGCCCGCGGACTGCTGGCAGTCAACCGGTCCTCCATAGAAGCACGCTTCGTTACAGCGCAAGGCCGCGCGCGGTCGGTGTCGTTTGGAGTGCACCGGTCGGTGTGTGAGTCGGTGGAGATGCGGCCAATCACGAAGCAGAAGTGGGCCATGTTCACCCAAGTGGAAGGTGAGATGTCACTCACTGCCTGCCCACCTGTTGCTCTTTTTAGTGCACCTTACCTGCTGCTCTCTCGAGTGCAATCATTTTACCTTCTAGCCCCAGGAAATGAGTTTCACACGCCTCCCCAGAGAATTTAAAGCTGGTGGGTGCATCAAGTCCAATGCGCTCCACGAACCATGCCCATTCCTTCGCCCTCTCCATTTCCCCTCCCATTCTTTCCCCCTGCCATGCCCTCTTTCGTGCGTCCCTCTCCAGAAAAGCTGAAGCTCATGGTGTGCACGATGCCCAAGGTGGCGGCCAACTCGTGGCTCATGTGGCTGCGCGCCATGCTGGGGCAGCCGCACCCAGAGGACCCCATTCTCGCCCTGGACCCGCGGCGGGCGGGCTGGCACATGCTGACGCTGCACTTCACGGAGCAGCAGGCGGTGCAGCAGGTGACCCGGCCGGACTTCTTCAAGTTCACCTTCGTGCGCAACCCCTTCTCCCGCGTGCTCTCCGCCTACTCCAATAAGCTCGTCATCACGGATACGCCCAACAACAAGACCGGGCCCGGATCCAGAGAGTACTGGAATGAGGTGAGATTGAGTGAGGGGAGGCGCATGGTGCTTGGTGTGTCCCAGAGAGTATTGCAACGAGGTGACTCTTGACAATGGGGTTGAGCTGTGCTTGCTGCTGCTGCTTGTTGCTTACTGCTTCTCCTTGCCATCATGGGGGCCTTTTGAAGTGGGCTGCTTCGTTTTCTCGTGCCAATAGACCTTGCCTGTCCTCTGCCCCCTCCTCTTGGCTCCACGCACAGCAATTCTTCAAGTACATTCGGCCGCATTGGGAGAAGGTGAAGGGAAAGGACGACCTGGTGTCGTTCCCTGACTTCGTGAAGCTCGTGGCGAAGCTCATGCAGAACCACCGCTGGCGCATGGACCGCCACATCGCATCCCAGGTGAGGCCATGCGGACAGGCACATGGCATGGCAGGCCCATACAGCGCTAGCAAAGCAGGTCATGGCACACACTCGTCACCGCATGCCCTCCACCTCGTCAGCACATGCTCTCTTCTATGCTCTGGCCAATGGTGTGACAATCTCTCTTGTCTGTTCTATTCTCTTTTTTTCGTTATAATCTGCAGTCGGACATTTGCTTCATGGACAAGATCAAGTACGACTTTGTGGGGCGGTTTGAGAATCTGGAGGAGGATGCCAAGTATGTGGTGAACCGATTCGGAGGCGACCATCTCGACATCTTCAACTTCGGCGTCAACGCGCACCAGACCCGCGCCGATGAGAAGCTCGCAAAAAAATACGACAAGGTACGCTCTTTTTTTGTCTCTTGAGCCAGGTACAGTTTTGGAAATAGGAACACGGATGGGAAGGCATGCGTGGACAAGGAGACGCGATTTGAAAATCGTCCAAATGGGAAGCTTGTCCTCCAATTGTTCCTGATTCCTTCGCTGACATCAACTTTCTTTTCCATTCCCCATTGAATTGCCAGGAAACATACGAGCTGGTGAAGCGAGTGTTCGCGCGCGATCTACACATCCCTCTCAACAACATCACTCAACAAGCCCCCTCTGTCCTTGTGGCCATGTTCGAGACAAAATAAAGGATAACTACTAAGTTACCCTAAACCGCTTTGGCTAGATGCTGAAACTGTCAAAGTACACATACTTATTTTTGCATTTGTCATAGTAGGCTAGATTGGGTTGTGCTCTAGAGAGTATGAATTGCTACATATTCCAACTGTATGGTGCCATGCATTGTTTCGGACCCTCGCTTTCGCCCCACCTCCCCTAGCTTACCCTACCCCACTACAGCCTACAGACATACAAATGTATTTTGACACACCCCCACAGGCAAAGTGGGGGATAGCAAGAACAACCAACGGTCACAAGACCAGACAAGCAAAAGAACAAAGCAAAGCAATGCTCAGGGTGGATCTCAAGATCGCCACGCAGTCTGACCACAAGCAAGCGGCCACAAAGCCAGTTTACATGCAGCGTTATAAAAGCACAAGCAGTACAGTGATCACAACCTAGCAAGTGTAAGCATGCAGGTATAGATATATATATAGATCACAGTACAAAGCAACGTCAAGCAGTCAGCAAGTGAGGCAGAGTAGGCACAAGGCCTAGAGCAGTGCAAAAACCCTAATGATCACCAGACACAAGTGCCTTCGTGAAAATATCAGCAGTGTTGGCCCATGAGGCCACGTAGGTAAGGCGGAGCTGACCACGCTGTCATAACTCTCGAGCGAGGAGGTAACGAAGAGCAATGTGCTTCGTTCTGTGCTCCAGTCTCTGCTTCTGACACAAGGCAATCGTGGCCTTGTTGTCGACGTACTGAACCGGAGGAGAACGAGGCCGCTCACCCAAGTCTGTCAGCAGGTAGGTCAGCCAGCGTAACTCCTGAGCAGCCATAGCCCCAGCGTAGATCTCGACCTCACAGCTGGAACTAAGTACAGAAGACAAGCGGGTGGACCTCCAGGAGACAGAGCCAGTGCCGAGACTGAAAGTGTAACACTGTGACGACCGCTGAGTCTCCTGGTCGTCGGCCCAAGAAGCGTCTGAGTGTCCCGTGAGTACAACTGAGCACCGTCCTCCATGCACAAGCCCCATGCCCGATGTACTGCACAAGTAACGCAGCACGCTCCTAGCAGCCCGCCAGTGCTCTGGTCGGTGTCTCCCGGGCGCAACGTAGCGCGCCAGGATGCTGAGAGGGTACGCAAGGTCAGGTCGAGTGCAAGTCATAAGGTACATGAGGTAGCCCACAAGCTTTGGATACTGACCACTCGGCTCTACGGACTCGTCCGAAGGTGGAGCTGAGAGCGAGTGGCCTGTAGGAAGAGGAGTGGAATGTGGCGAGGAGAACTGGAAGCCGAAGCGCTGAAGGACCTGGTGCAGCATGTGTGACTGAGTGAGATTGATGGTGTGCCGTGCTCTGTCCCGGATGATCTGCAAGCCAAGATAGCTCCGCAGCTCACCCAGGTCGTGCAGGTGTGTCTCTTCTGCAACTCCGCCTTCACAAGGGCCAGTGCCCCAGTGTCAGCAGTAGCAAAGACCAATTCGTCGACGTACACGAGGATGTAGAACGTCGGCAAAGAAGGATTGGTGCGTAGAAACATCGACGGGTCAGCAGTCGAAGGAGCAAACCCTAAGGCCGCAAGTGTAGTCCTCATTGTGTCGTTCCACTCGTGGGGTGCCTGACGGAGACCGTAGACTGGCCGCCGAAGGCTCCACTGGGTACCCTCAGGAAATGACCCAGTGAAGCCAGGTGGGCGGCGCAGCCACATCTCCTCGTGAAGGCTGCCCTGCAAGAAAGCCGTGCTGAAGTCAAGTGAGTGGAGCTCATAGTCACGCTGTGCTGCAACGTGTAGTAACACCCGAAGAGTGGTCATCTTCGGGGTGCGGGAGAAGGTATGGAAGAAGTCGACCCCCTGTCGCTGACTGTAGCCTCGAGCAACGAACGCGCCTTGAAGGCAGGCGGAGAACCCGACGGCCACTTTACTCTGAAAATCCACATGCCATCAACTATGTTCGCCCCTGGAGGGGGAACTGCGTCGACGTAGGTGCCTGTGAACTTCCAGGAAGCCATCTCTGCATCCATGGCTGTCTGCCACTAAGAGGAGTACTCAACCGTGATCGCCTCAGCGTAAGAGCGCGGGGTCGGGATGTTTTGTGCATCCGGGTCTCCCTCAGGGCAAAGCAACATGGAAGCGAGATGAGGTACAGCAGCCGCGAGGCACTCGAGCTCAAACTGCGTGTCCTCAAGGACGTCACTGCCAAAGGCAAGCTCACCCCCAACGGACGGAGGACAGTCAGACCCAGACTCAGTAATAAGACTCGCGAAGTAGTCTAGACGACAGGTAGCAGCAAACTCAACAAGCTCAGTGACTAAGGCAGACGCAGCAGTAGACTCAAAGGAAGGATCAGTGACAAGGGTGGCTAGGAAATGCGTGACAGTGGGACTAGCAGTACGAGCAAGGTCGGACTCAGGGTCAGGAACGTCTGAAAGAGAGGATTCCGGAGGAGACGGCAGAGCAACACGTTGTGGAGCAGAGGAAGGACGAAGTGCCATAGTGTGTGTGCCGGGGACTGGTGGAGGACGTACACGACGAGCACGACTAACAGTGCGAACAGGCGAGGCAGGACGAGACGCATGCTCACGACGCTCTGTTAGGGAGTCTGCCTGCCCAGGGTAAGGAGAAGGAGCAGGTAGAGGGGATTGAGGCAGTAACGTCGGCTGTAACTGGTCAGGCGGAGGACACAGAAGAGGTGGAGTAAGGCCAGTGGAAGACGGAAGACTAAGAACCTGGTGAAGCGCCGAGTTAGGTGGTGGCAGTGACGACTGCGGCTGCGGGAAGAAAAACGGTCTCCGGTGCGCAGTACCCACATTACCAGAGCCTATAGCTCCAGTACCTCCAGCACCAGTACCTCTAGTAGCTCCAGCACCTCCAGCTCCAGCACCTCCAGCACCAGTAGCTCCAGTACCTCCAGCACCTCCAGCTCCATTACCTCCAGCACCTCCAGCACCAGCAGCTCCAGTACCTCCAGCTCCAGTACCTCCAGCACCAGCAGCTCCAGTACCTCCAGCACCTCCACCACCAGCAGCTCCAGTACCTCCAGCACCTCCAGCTCCAGTACCTCCAGCACCTCCAGCTCCAGCACCTCTAGTACCTCCAGCTCCAGCACCTCCAGCACCAGCAGCTCCAGTACCTCCAGCACCTCCAGCACCAATGCCCCAAGCACCGCCACCAGAGCGGCCTCGCCGAATAACCCACTCGCGAAGCTGCTGCGGCGAGAGAGTCCCCTGTCGACGAGACTGCTGCTACTGGCCAACGCCAGAACCTCCCGCAGGAGAAACCACGACTCCACCACCACTAGGACGCGTAGCACCCCCAGAAGTAGCACCCCCAGAAGTAGCACCCCCAGAAGCAGCACCCCTAGAAGAAGCAACCCCAGACTCAGCACCCCCGGAACCAACACCTCCAGAGTTAGCACCCCCAGGACCAGCACCCCCAGAGTCAGCACCTCCAGTGTCACCACCCCCACCAGCACCGGAGTCTACAGCAACAGGCTTCAGAGGCGGCGAAGACGGCCGAGGCGGAAAAACAGGAGGGGTCTCCAAGCGCGGTGAGCGGCGAGTGGCCGCTGTGTCGTCAGAAGTAGCGTCACCCCCCTCAGTTGGGCCAGAGGTGTCAAAGGAGACCTCCAAAGGCTCAACCAAGGGGGGTGGGTCTACCTGGGACACACATGAGGGAGTAGGACCCTGTGCGGGGAGAGGGTCTACCGGGGGGGGACGTGGAACCAGGAAAAGAGGCGGGGGGGGGACAGGGGAAGTGCTGTGGGGGTGGAGACGGTAGAAGCAAACCGACTCGTCAAAGGTGACGTCCTGAGAGGACAGGGCGCGCCACGTGGCAGGGTGGTAAAACTGCCTGGGCGGGGAGTCGGTGGGAAAGCCAAGGAAGACGCAGCAAAGAGTGCAAGGAGAAAGCTTGCCCGCAGTAGGATCACGGACAAGGGCAAGCGAGCCCCAGACTCAAAACGCCGACGCATCGTCAACCTCCCCCGTCCAATGCAGTGTAGGCGAGGTCTCTGACACAGAGACATGGGGCCAGAGGTTGAGCTGATGCGCGGCGTATCGGACCGCAAACAGCCACAGAAAATGGGGAGCAGCCACATGGAACATGGAGGTGCGAGCAACCTCCATGATCAAGCCAATGCGACGCTCAGCAATCCTATTCTGTTGTGGAGAGGCCGGAAGCGTGAACGACTGGGCGATGCCCTCCTCACGACAAAAGTCCTCAAAGAGGCGGGAGGAAAATTCATCGCCTCTGTGAGAGTGCAGCCCCAGGACCTGAAGGTCCTGCTGAAACCGTGTGCTCATCTCGTGACGAACAGTGCAGATCCAGGGGATCAAAACACCGCGTACATCCGTCTTGCTCTGCAAGGGGAAGACCATGGTGTAGCGCGTGTAGTCGTGACCAACCAGCAGAAAGTAGCGCTCGTGGTCCTGTCCACGGACGCGGGCAGGGCCCCACACGTCCATGTGGTGAGTCTGCAGAGGAGCGGTGGTCGGAGGAAACGCGGAGGAGTGAGGAGCGGCGCGCTGCCGTCCCTCGACGCAGGGAAGGCACGGCGGTGCAAGCAAGCGCGGGAGTGGGGGCAAGGACCTGGGGAGGCCAGAGACAAGGAGACGAGAGTGCATGCTACGCAGACGCGGCAGGGAGGGGTGACCAAGATGGTGGTGCCAGAGGAGAGACGAGTGCGTGACTAACCGACACGAAGAAGACGCAGCTAACTGACCAGACGCAGCTACCTGACCTGACGCAGCCACCTGTGCAGGCGTAGTGGTCAGTGTGTACAGGCCAGACCCAGGCCTCCGTGTGAACGTGGCGAGGTGGTGGCCAGTCCGTGAGTACATACAGATCGCCACACGCTCACCTCCAGGAGTAGTGGTAGTGACCAACTCGTCCTGGAGGACAGCGTTACTCACCAAGTTTGTAGAGAACGAGGGGAGGTGGAGACCTGGGAGGGAGCCGGAGGGGACTTTCGGACACGGGAGAACAGTGGAGGCACGAACAACGACTGGGGCCCCAGAGGGGTC